GCAGATTTTATCACTCTGTTATAATAAATTTCCAACCTTGAGCTATTTAACAGTTTCTGGAGTTTTCAAGGAGTTTTAGGAGTTTTCAAGGAGTTTTAGGAGTTTTCATGAGGTTTTAGAGACTCGTTTTTCATGGAATACTTTATCACTCTGTTATAATTAATTTCCAACTCTGAGCTATTTAACAATTTCTGGAGTTTTCCTGGAGTTTTAGGAGTTTTCATGAGGTTTTAGAGACTCGTTTTTTATGGAATACTTTATCACTCTGTTATAATAAATTTCCAACCTTGAGCTATTGTAACAGTTTCTGGAGTTTTCCTGGAGTATTGTGAGTTTTCCCAGGGTTTTAGAGACTCGTTTCTCATGGAATACTTTATCACTCTGTTATAATTAATTTCCAACCTTGAGCTATTACAACAATTTCTGGACTTTTCCTGGAGTTTTAGGAGTTTTCCCAGGGTTTTAGAGACTCATTTTTCATGGAATACTTTATCAATCCATTATAATTAATTTCCAACCTTGAGCTATTTAACAGTTTCTGGAGTTTTCCTGGGATTTTAGAGACTCATTCTTCATGGAATACTTTATCAATCTGTTATAATAAATTTCCAACCTTGAGCTGTTGTAACAGTTTGTGGAGTTTTCCTGGAGTTTTAGGAGTTGTTTTAGAGACTCATTTTTCATGGAATACTTTATCAATCTATTATAATTAATTTCCAACCTTGAGCTGTTGTGGAGTTTTCATGGAGTTTTAGGAGTTTTCATGAGGTTTTAGAGACTCGTTTTTCATGGAATACTTTATCAATCCATTATAATTAATTTCCAACCTTGAGCTATTGTAACAGTTTCTGGAGTTTTCCTGGAGTATTGGGAGTTTTCCCGGGGTTTTGGAGACTCGTTTTTCATGGAATACTTTATCACTCTGTTATAATTGATTTCCAACCTTGAGCTGTTGTAACAGTTTGTGGAGTTTTCATGGAGTTTCAGGAGTTTTCCCGGGTTTTAGAGACTCGTTTTTCATGGAATACTTTATCACTCTGTTATAATTAATTTCCAACCTTGAACTATTGTAACAGTTTGTGGAGTTCTCATCAAGTTTTAGAAGTTGTTTTAGAGACTCATTTTTCATGGAATACTTTATCAATCTATTATAATTAATTTCCAACCTTGAGCTGTTGTGGAGTTTTTCTGGAATTTTTGTAGTTTTCATGAGGTTTTAGAGACTCGTTTCTCATGGAATACTTTATCACTCTGTTATAATTAATTTCCAACCTTGAGCTATTTAACAGTTTCTGGAGTTTTCAAGGAGTTTTAGGAATTTTCATGAGATTTTAGAGACTCGTTTTTCATGGAATACTTTATCCATTCATTATAATTAATTTCCAACCTTGAGCTATTTAACAGTTTGTGGAGTTTTCCTGGACTTTTAGGAGTTGTTTTAGAGACTCGTTTTTCATGGAATACTTTATCAATCTGTTATAATTAATTCCCAACCTTGAGCTATTTAACAGTTTGTGGAGTTTTCCTGGAGTTTTAGGAGTTGTTTTAGAGATTCATTTTTCATGGAATACTAGAAACTGATTC